GAGTGGCTACAGCAGTTCCAACATAGTGTAGACTTGTACTTTACCCTTCCTATATTCCTTCCATTCTTACTGGTGAACACAGATGGTAGATTTAGCTGCTCTAGAATTCAATAAAGTATAATATTTCTAATACTGACTTTGACCCCTTCCTGTAATAACTGTCGGTCTTCAGGTGGGTTTAAGTTTGGCTAGTGACATCAACTTGACATTCTCTTAAAGGAGATATAGTTTGGCATGACTAGTGGTTAAATTTATAGTACTTAAATAAGTCTCACAACTTTTCCATGGGAAGTTCACAGGACTATGAAGTAATAAGACTTTCAAAAATGATTTTATAGTTAGGGAACATAATTCAGTAACATAGCTAAGACCATATTACCTCATCACTTTCAGTATGGGCTTTACATTAAGTTATGTCAAGAAACATTCTAACTGGTATTTCTTAGGAATATATGCTACTTTAAAAGTAATCAGGTTATGGGGGTGCCTGGGTTGCTGACTCGGTTGAGCAGCTTGATGTCTTGATCTCAGGGTCTGGCTCCTGAGGTCGAGCTCCACGCTTAGCAGGGAGTCTGCTTGAGATTTCTTCTCTCTGCCCCTCCCCTGCTTGCATATAGTATCTCAAATCTTTAAAAAAAAAAAAATCAGGTTACAGATAGCATTTAAATACTCTCCCCATTTTAAATTTTAAAGAGTATGTTTGTGGTCACCCCAGCTATTATTCAAGATGGAGATGTGCAGTTTGACACCATCTTAAATTTGCTCAAAGCCAAATAATTTCAAAGTGACTTATTAAAACTATAGAGCCTAACTTCTAATAGTACATTTACATACTTTCTGTTTTAGAGCAAAGACCATTATGAGCGCTTTGCTTTTAATTTACCACACTTTTTATATTGTGTTAGCCACATAAGATCTTATCTTTATAAGAGTTTCTTTTTAGCCAGATGTCTGACAGTGGATCCAAAGATCAAGGAGTGCACACAAGTTGAAGAACTCCACTGCTGGTCAGAGCTTTCTTCGGACCACCAAAACCTATTTTAAAGAGCTAGGATTCCATCAGCATCTAAGATGAGAGTAGTTTCTCTGCATATTATTTGTGTTGGAAAAGTGCTAGGGAATTAGGCAGTCCAGGGGCTGGCACTCAGGGCAGATGTAGTTGTGCTTGCTAAAACATCAAAGTGGGTTTCTCTGTTGCCAACTAAAGTTATGGAAGCTAAACTTAATGTTTTTGTTTTAAACCTGAGGCATTGTTAGATTGTGAGAACACAGATTTCTCAACTCTTCAGAATCTCTTGGTATTTGAAAAGCTCCGGACACCCCTTCTGGGGTGCTAGACTGAACTGCCAATCTTAGGGCGTGTATAGGATTGCCAGGGACCCTGGCACACCCAGCAGGTGGTCAGAGGTGCAGCAGACCACAGCCTGGCTGGGTTCCCTCGTAAGGGGACTTGCCTCATACATTCATCTCTACAGAGATGGTCAGTTTATTTTGAAAAATTAAAGCCAAGAAAGTTTAGTGTTCTATTTAGACCTTAAATTTTCTCCTGCCATACAGATAGCTCTGCTGAGACCCAAAATAAGCAAGCAAGCCCTTCCAAGCTACCCTTTCTACAATGCTTTTAGAAGTGGTTCTTAACAGAACTAGAATAACTTGGAGCTACAAATCCTTTAGTCATGTTACTGGTTTTAAACAACTACTTTAAAAAGTCACTTGCAGTGACATGTCAGACTTAAAAGTACTTTGTTCATGTTTAGATATTTCTAAATCAGATTTATTTATTTAAGAAATACTTTGTCAACAACTTTAAAGCCCTGCAATTTTTCCAAGGCTGCCAGAGCATTTAAAAATACTCTTATTCACCACAAATAGCCTGAGACAAACAAGTGCATATCTAAGCCTGCATTAAGGGTGGGAGCCTTGTACACATTCCGTGTTATGGAAACTATTTAACCTTTCTTTGATGGTGGGAAAAATGGTAACTATGGTCCAGCTATTGCCATACAGACAGTGGCCCAGTTTCTCACTTGGTTTAGAAATATATATCTCAGTACTTAGTTTTCTCATGACATTTTTTGTCTTGGTGACTAGAGCATAGGGCTCTTTCTCAAAGTTTTTTCTCAAGTAGGGCAATGTCAAATGATATACAACCTTGGGAGGCCCTTGGAATGAAATCTCTCCCATGGAGCTATCTGAGCAGCCTTAAAAATAGAAGAAAAAAATGACACACTACCATCAAACAGAAGGGAGGACATGCACAGCTGCCAGGAACAGAGCCAGGTGACTTCCAGTAAAACCCACATCATTCCATCCTCCACCTCCACTAACATGAACCAGCATTTCACACTGTTCTCACTGCTGAGTATGTAGAAAGAGAAAGCAAGTCTTCTAAAGAAAGAATGCATTCGTTTACAGAATAAATAAGGCTTCTTTTTTTCTGTAACCTGGCAATCTCAACCATTTTTCCCTGTCAGACACAGTATCTTCATCCCAAAGCCACAGCAATCTGACTTGTTCCAACAAGGATATGCAATTTCAAAAATAAAATATATGTAGTATTTTAAAGTTCCTCTGAAGAGCTTTAGCACAAAAAGTACTCGCAGTGGAACACATTTTACCTCAAGCTTGCTGACTCTTACTGTAAGTCTAAGTAATTTATATTTTCTAATTTAAACCAGTTTTTGGTCTGGTCTCTATGTTTCTTCCTACAAAGTAAGATCCCTTCGCTTCATCTTATTACTAGGAAAAAGGTGGATTACACATTGCTTCATGAATCATATTAGGTACAAGTAGGCCCCCAAACAGCCTGCTTTCCATTGAGCTCTTCCCAAAGCCATGTCTGGCCAGGGCTACAGACAAAGCCTGTAGAGTCTGGGCCAAGATCAACCTCACCACATGCACTGGAGCCCAAGCGGCTAAGTGCATGTTCTTCCCATGAAAAACAGCAACAGTCGTGAGTCTCACAAGTTCCTGAGATACTCTGAAGTATTTGCCCAGCAAACCTTTCCAACACTAAAAAAAAAAAAAAAAAAAAAAAAGGTTTATTAAATGTCCAGTCTTTTTTTTGAGAGAGGGTTCTCACCAGAAGTAATGTGTGACTTATGGGTATAGGAGTGAAGCAAGTAACTTTATTCTTGGACCCACTGTCCTTAAGTCAATGATGTAGCAGAAGCCTAGTAAGGAAATCAGCTCTATCTAAAAATTCCCATCCTGTATTAGCCTACTGTCGGAGCACTTCACAATCACGAATTCCCCAGCAGGAAGAACACTTTGACAAAGAACTGCAACTTCTCCCTTGTGTCCTTAGGGCTTAGAGCCCTCCACCAGGGGAGATGGCCTGCCACCAGAATGTTACAGCAAAAGGGCCTCATAAACCATTCCTTTTTTTTGGAATGGGACAGTATGAGCACAGATGTGAGGATCTTGGAGGAAAAACGAAAGTCTTACAAAACAAGAGTTTATTAGCCATCTAATCCAACTTTCGGCGCTCTACTAAAGAAGTGTCACTGTTGAATTTACTTTCAAAAAGTATAAAAATTCAGAAATCCACTCCAGATTATAAAAAGGTCGCTCATTCAGGATGTAGCAGTCATTTTCTCTACAAGGCTCTCTGGTGAGTCATAGTCTGTGTCCTTAGAAGTGCTGAGTTGATAAGAAGTGCTGGGGAGCATAATTTCTTATATGAAATAGGAACCCTAGAGCTTTTCTCATGGTAAAGTTTAGTAATAAACTTGTGTCCAGTGTGTCCACATGGGCACCCCATGGATACAGAGGGAAAACTCAGGAAAATCTCATCTTAACAGCAGGAAAAATCACCTCTCCTTTCCTTGGGAAATTTCCTGATTTGAACTCAGGACTCCTCTAGACAAAGTGAGTAAAGCAAGAAAAAGCAAAACAGCCAACTGGGACTCCACGTGTTAGAGAAATCCTTCCCTGGCCCTCCGTGCTTGCTTCTCTGCATCTAAGGAAAGTAAGCAGGCTCCCCAAAAGGTAACCACTGGAACATAGAACTACCCCGTTAATACTTCAAAGAAATTGGGGGTAATGACTGGGGGGCATGGTGATGAAGTCAGGTGTGTCTCAAAGCCAATAGTTCTTCATGAACTGTCCCCATCTACAGGGCAAGTGTAAGTAAAGCAGATTGCAGACATCAGGGTTAAACCACACGGTGCAGAAAATAAGGGACCAGTCAGAGCACGATCCTCTCTGGAGTGTAAAATAGAGACAGAGTGGAGGCCAAAAGATTCCAGAAAGACGTCATCGAGGGATAAGTCACAAAAGGGGATTGGGAACCTTGACCAGAAGATAATGCAGGGTCTGGAAGCACCTGAGTGATGCAGGTAAGAAGGAACCTAAAGACTTGAAAAGCAGTAGTGATGGAAGAGGATGGGGCCCCAACACTGGATTATCAGGGAAGGTGGATGCCCACTGCATCCTGAAGAGCATCTGAACACGACTCCCCAAGGTCCGGTCTGATGTTTGTAACTTGAGAATGAACATCTGTGCTCGCTACCACCGTTCCCCTAGGCTTTGCGGAGCAGAGGACCTACAGAGCCATTCTCCTCAAGAGCCAGCTGAGAGGCTTGAAGGAGGCCTCTGGTCTTGCCTAGGAAAAAACAGCTTGGACGTTTGCCCAGCTGAACTGTGTGCTGTTAGTGACTGAGCCGCCAATGTTGGAACAATTTGAGTGGATTTCCTCAGGGTCCTTAACTAAAATGAACTGATGGGACTATAATCCTTGCAAAGGAGAAGCCCCCCTCCCCCCTAACCTCCTCAGAACTGGTGGCACCAGACTCTATGGTAAAGGTGGAGGCACAGTTCTAGCAACCCTCTCTGGTACGTAAGACTTTGTGGTGTGTGTCCAAAGGAAATGCCCTGCTGTGTTGCCATGCCAACAGACAACCAATCCCAGCTTTCTCACCAGTACAGCCAGGCCACTGGGCAGGGGACTGAGGTTGGTGTTGCATAGATGGAAGGGGAAAGAGGGAACACACATCCGCTGGAAGGGTGAACAGAAAATCATCATTTATCTAAATAGAATAATAGAAATGAACAAAACCTTTTAAAACAATCACAAAATTTACAAATAAATTGGTACAAAATAAATAGGAGAGATTGTAAATCTACAACATCATTTGAATTATAAAATGCATTCATTATGACAATCAGCTCATGAAACCTATACATGTCATTTGTGCTTCTTTAGGCTTATGTACACAGCTCTGAATACTGTGTTCGGAGAGCTTCACTGCTGAAAAGCATGAAATGTACACTATAACACAGTAAATGCTGAGGAGGATGAAAATCAGACACAAAGCAGGGTCTTACTTGAGGGCCAAGGCAATGCAGGCGTTGGGCCTCAAAACCATGAAAAGGTCTATAAGAAGCCCAGATGGGCAGGCAGCTTCCATGGTCCCGAGAGACGGATTCTGCAATCCAAGGTAGGAATTTAGAGGCCATCACTATTGTGGGGCCAGTTTCCCAACCTGGCTTGGGAGGTGGAAGTGAGGAAGAAGGCTCTGGTCTCACATCCATGCTGTACCGTTATACAGAATAGACCCAGTCACCAGGAAACCACCTCTCAAGCATGTCGCAGATGTACTTGAGACCCCTACCATGACGGAGACAGGCCTCCATCCTCATCCCAAACACTAGTCCATCAGGAATATTGGTGAGCCCAGTAAAAGGGACCAGGGATGCTAGGGTCAACCTAAGAGCAGCAACCTCTTTATGGCAAAAACAGAAAAAAAAAAAAGAAAAAAAACCCACTGCTTTCTCACCCCTTTAAGGGACAAGAGAACCCTAGGCTCCATGGATGAGGGGCTCTAGAAAATATCTCGTCTTAGTCACAATGTACTAACAGTAGAGGCATATGTACATAATAAATAATAATATAAAATAAAGCATATACATTTGTAGATTTAAGACTCCAGAAATAAGATAAGTCAATGGACTGATACACTCCGCCTTCACAGTAGACTTCAGACATGGGGAAGAATGAATCAGAAGCTAAGCTGGGGCTCTCAGGGGAATGAAAGTCCTGATGCCTTACTCCTTCCTACTCCAGGAGCCTGAGACCGGCTAAGCATACCAAGGGCCTGGGCCTCCAACAAAAAGGGAAGGCACACCCAAGCCCCACCAGGTCTGTAAGAATTCTTCCCAGGGTGAGCCTAAGAAGAATCTGGCCCCAAAAGAATCACTTTCCAAGTGAATCCGTGTTGGGTCAGATGTGGGCAAATACCAGAAGATACCCTGCCAGGCAAGGCAAGCCATTCTTCCAGTTTATGTTTAAACTCAACATAAGTGGGTATTCGAACTCAAAGATGTGTACTAACTCAAGTCTTTCGTATAGTATGTGTTGGAGCTGTGTACATAAAAACCTTGCTATACAAATTCCTAGAACTTTACGCTCTTGCTACTAGAACCTTTGTTTCTAAATGTTGCTTCAAGTACAGCCTGGTATTTCCCATCGGAAGATATTTACAATGAGTCTAGTGAAATGTCAGTGGCTCTAGCATACACAGAAAGATTACTTGTGTAGAGCCAACCACAAAGGTCTAAGAAGCCGAGAAAGTCCCCAGCCCAAGGCAGGAGGAAAGCTGCTCCAAGGTCTGCAATTGCTATGAACTGCCATTGCCTCCTTCTGTCCTTCGGGCTGACCAGGGACTCTGGGAATCTTCAGACAGGGCAGAAGGAAAACCAGCAGGTAAGCACTCACTGCAGGAAGAATGCCTGCGAGTGTTAGAGGAAGAAGGCCCACTGCCACAGCCTGGAGGGACGGTGACATCAGCAAGCTCGCCCTCAAATGGAGGCAAATGAACCTCATCTCAGAGTTCCCTGAACTCATCTCTCTTATCAGCCCACTTGAATACAAAAGAAATATGAAAAGATAAAGATCTGTAAATGGCCCTGAGATATAAAAATCCACTGAGTAGGTTGCTCATTGATAAATTTACATCGGAAAATTTCTGAATCACTCCAAACCACTTTCGTACTCAGTTCTCTAACTCCCTCCTAACTTTGCATTCATCTACAACTGACACAGACGTCCTTCCTTGCTGGATGGAAGCACCACGAGCGCAGAGCCTACAGTGGAACCAAGCCCAGCCCAGAAACCATGTCCTTGGAAACTGCACCGGCGCCCCAGAAGCCCCCACATCCTGAATGGCCAGCTCCGTCAACCCCCTGCAAGAAAAACCTGTCTCTGGGGTCAAAACTGGCAGGGCAATCATTCCTGCTGTTCATGCCACCAGAGAACTTGAGGCGTGACATGTGCCACGTCAACCCTCCCCTGGCAGCTGTTTCCAAGTTGAGGACCCTTCCTGTACTGGCTCAGAGGAGTCTTTCGTTGGTGATCACCCCTGGCCAGCCCTGGAGGAACCTTGGGATCTTGGCCCAGGATGAGTGAAGAGGGCCATAGATCCCTGGCTGGTTTTCAGAAGATGATAGGGTTGGGGTTTGTTCTTATTTTTGACCAGCCAGGACAGAGGCTCAATCAGCCAAGGGCCTCCTGAGGTCTGCTTCTCAACCTGAGAGAAGTGGGGGGCGGAAGCTTGTGGTCCCTGCCCAGCCCAATTCCTATTACCTCCACTCCTAGGGAAAATGCAGTTCTACTTGTACCTACCACTACTTTCCTAGACTTGGAAAGCTGATCCTTTAGTGAGATGGTACTGGGGATAGCACAGGGAAACATATTCACAGTTAATGTTCCATATTGATGTGAAGTTCTTCGTTCAACCTCTGCACAGAAGTTCCTTAAAGTTACATTAGAAAGTGGCAAGGTATCCTACTTCCTCCCACGTGGGGAAGCCAATCTTGTCAGCGTGGGCAAGGAGGGAAGTGAAGGTGAGGAAGGAGGGAAGAATGGGGTCAAGTGGTATGAAATTACGTGAGAACCATGGCTTAAACTAGTTGACTGGCACCCCATATCCATGTACATACAGATCTTAATGTTCTGTTTTCCTAAAACTTTAAATACAGGATTTTGAACTTGCCTGATAAATATGAACAGAGACCAACAAAGGGAAAGAACCTGTAGGGTAGTAGGGGGAACAAAACCCTCTCATTTATAACGACAAAGCAGACTGTCCTGAGAACATCCAGATACTAGGGATCCAGTTGCAGGTGGAACCTTTGGGATGCTACAGTGGCTAGAATCAGGAGGAGGCCCTGTCTGGTCCCACCGAGCCAGGGCCGCAGAAGCCACGGCAGACGGGGGCTGGGCCCGATAGCGAGGGCTCCAGCAGCATTCGAGACACCAGCACCCGTGTCTGCTGCAAAGCCCACTCCCCTCTACACTTAAAGCCGGCAGCCCTAGGCAAGGCTGATCTACTGGCGCTGCATTCTGAGACCTGGCCACTGCACACGGAGATCTCAAATACTCAGTGCCCTTCTCTGCCGGACTCTCCCCTTTATAGACATGACTGCACAGAACGTCTAAGCCACAATCATCCTGCTGCCCAGTGAAGCAATGAGCCAGCGCTTCTCCTTCAATAGCCTGAAGTTAGTTTCCAGAGGGAAAGCAGGGCCCGGGGCAAGAATCTGCTCACTCAAGACTGAGTGTGATCTGAAGGGTCTTGAGCTTTTCCCAAAGCAGATATTTAACTATAGCCAGGAACGATTTTCAATTCTCTGTTGTTACAAAATATGAATAATCAAAGGTAGAGAGTGGTGTACAGAAAATAAATACCAACTCGAAAGACTAAAGTTTCATCCTCTGGGCGTAGGAGCCTCTGCTGCAAAGCCATCCCTGCCAGCACTTTACAGCAGACTTTTCAAAAAGCCACCACACTGAGTAGGGATGATAGTGATGACAAGTTCTTGGTTTCTCTCTGAAGTCAAGGAGCCAGCAGCTGGAATCCCCGGCCTCTCACAGAGCTTTAGGATTCACAAAGGAACCGTGGGGGCTCTGAAAAAGACCCAACACATTAACCCTGCTTCCAGCAGCTCCTTCCAGTAGCAAGGCACCCTGAGACAGGCCGCATGTGGAAAGGCAGATCAGCAGGGACTGGGCCAAGGGGGCAGAGTTCCGAAAGTCAGAGGAACCCCGGCGTGGCAGGGCCAGGCTCCACCAACCCAGCGGGGAGGCGAGTACTGTCCAGGCCGGGAGTACGAGCGTGGTGCTTGGAGGGGGGCCGCTCCCCTTGCGAGACCCACGGTTCACTTCCTTATGGGGATAGTCCCAGTTCCCACGCCACACTGGGGTTGTGCTTGGCTAGATGCGTCTTAGAAACAGACCTGCTCTTGGATGGATCTGTTTATAAAAGGGGATACTCGGGGTGCAGGGTCCCACTAACATGAAGCTACAGAGTGGGGGCTCCATCCCATGGCGGCAGGTTGGGTGCCAGTAGTGGGCCACTCAGCCCCCTTAGGGGGCACCCCGTGACCCTCACCAAGGGGCATGGCACCCTATGAGGAAGACCCTCCGGGCGGACATCCCAGAGGAAATACTGTGATAAACGTGCCTGTGACACGGGAGCCACCACACTGCTCGTCGGGAGGCAAGCCTGGCGTGCTGCTGGGGGCTCCCCAACCCCAGCTCGCATCCTCCCAGAGCCCTACCTTGGGGGGGGGGCACACTCCTACCTTGAAGAGGGAGGAGGAACCCGCTGCCGGGCCCAGGCCTTCCCTTCAGTCAGCGGGACCCAGGGGAGAGCCCTGGCTTCTGGGCTAGGGCCTAGAAGCGCGCGGGCCGCCCTGCGGTCACTGCGTCGGAGGAGCCCAACTCGGGGTGCGGCGTGGCCCACAAAACGCACACGCCCCTTGGGCTGACACTTGGAACAGATAAGATAGTTAGGAACCCAGTCACTCAAGGAACATCTCCTGACACTAATTTCACTACGCGGGATGAATTTGGTATTAAAATAAGGCGGAGACACACGTGAAATGGCCACAACACACATTTGGCTTCTGAATCCCTGTTTGGGGCCACACCGGCCCTGGCGCACGGTGGAGGGGGCGCACGGGAGGCGGGGCACGGCGGTCCTGGGGCGAGGAGCCGGGGAGCCGGGGAGCCCAGGAGCCCAGGGGCAGGGGCGAGGAGGCGCAGCCCCGCGGAGCCCCCCGGCCCCGCCCCGCGGGCCTCCCCCGTGCCGCCCCTCGAGGCCCGGGAGGACCGCCTGCGCCCTAGGGCGCCCTGGCTGCGGGGCGCAGGGCCGGGCGCGGGGCGCGGGGGCGAGGATCCAGGCTGCAGCAAGGTCGGTCGGGATGCAGCCCGCTTGCCTCTCGCCAATGATAAACCGTGGCCTTAAAATTCATGAACATTCATTTTGGTGATAAAAATTCCTTAGAGGAGCAGAAATCACATTCCAAGCAAATGTTAAACCTCTCTGAGGGAAAGGACGCGGTTAAACGTTAACTTAAAACAACACTGAGCTCGCGGAGGCGGAGGCGGAGGCGGAGGCGGCGGAGGGGGGCCCCGGGGAGGGCGCCGTGCCGGCCCCGCCCCCCGCGGCACAGTTTTCTTCATTCATCCTTCAAGTTCCACAGCGACACGGCCGTGGGGGGGGGGGAGGAGGAGGGGGAGCAGCCAGTCCGTTGGGCTCAGGTCACCTCACGGAGTCACGGCAGAGTTTCAGACACAACAATGTACAACTCTGCAAAAGACACTGTTTAAAAACATCATCTCTTGGGAAAAAAATAAAATAAACCGCAACAATTTTCAACTTCATGCAAATTGAGGGAGGAGGAGAGTGAATAAAGATAGAAGGTACAACTGAAAAAATAAACATGATTCTATTTGGGTGGAAGAAGTTCATCTCCAAAATCTCGAATGCCATGTCCTGGCTGTTGGCGTCACACCTCTAGCTTCTGTGCCCGCCCTGGCCATCCTCCGCGGCGGCTTCCGGGAAGGGGACAAAGTCTTTGGTCTCAGGATGTTGCAGGACGCAGCATGGCACACAAGCTCACGCTAATGGGGTTCGTGGTCGGCGGGCCTGGGGCCTCGGGAGTTGGGGGGCGAGGGGCAGCGGTGGGCGCTCTAGATGGCCCCTTCACTGTGCAGGCTGTGGTTGGCCTTGTTGTGTGTCACACAGTTCTGTTCATTGAGCAGGTTGGCGGTCTCGTCTGGCAAACCGTCGTGCAGCTCCGTAAGAGTCAATTCAATTTTAGTGTTTTCACTGTCTGAAGACTGAGGGGTTTTGTCCATCCGGGATGCCATCAAGGCATTTTGGTATTGCTGTCTTGAGATCTGGGGCCAGAAGATGGTACAGAAGACAAACGAAGACAATGCTTATTTTTACGTGTTCCTATCTCGACTTCGTATTACATGTTAAAATCTCCCACCCCAGCTCCCCCAGAAAGGCCCCTCAAAGTTTTTCTAGGAAAATATCATCCTCATGTATAAACTGAGTCACCTTGCAAGTTCAAGTGAACTCTGGCGAACAAGTCAGTGTTTACTGATCTAAGCCATTTCCAAATTTTCGTCTCAAAATTTCAGAGACTGGAAAATGGAGATAGGCTTCCACCAGTGGAAGTTGGCTCGTTCTTCAGAAGACACCTTTATTTCAGACTGAGACAAGAACCCTGTCTGGGGCAGAAGAGAAACAGAGGGTTCTTCCCACCCCATCTCAGCAAGTCTTCGGAGACTCCGACCTCAGCCCTTCTGTGGCCACCCGGACTCACTGGACTCACGAGCTCACGAGGACTTGCTGAGAGAGGTTCCTCCTTTTTCTGCCTCTGGCTCTCACTCCCTGAAAAAGCCACATCTGACTTGGCAGCTCTTTTGACAGAGCCAGGGAGATAAGTGTTTTCCGGAGCCTAAGTCTCGGTTGGGCACAGGAGCTGGAGGTAGGGCAGCCCAAATGGGCCGGGGAGCCAAGCCACCTGCTGCAGCAGGTCCCCTCCGGCGGCCAGGCCCCGCCAAAGCACGCGCTCCCCTCTCACCTTAACGAACTGAAGGTCAGAGAGGGCCCGCACTGAGTAGTCAGGGATGTAGACTTGAAGGAACGAGGAGGTGAGCTGATTGTTGCTGCTCCCCAGTGTCGGCGTGACTGCGTCGATCCGGTCACTTCGGCTCAGAGAGTCTGAGTGATTCAAGCCACACGGGCGAGGAGGCGACTTGTTTTCACCTAGACACGGAGGAAAACAAACAAACAAACAAACCACCCATAACCTTTTAAGTGAGGTAGACAGAACCAACACAGTCAGCTCTTTATTTTCCAAATAATAGAAAGTAGTAATTAATAGACCAGTTCAATCAGCTTAACCCAGACGCGAGGGCTGTACAGCTCACCACCTCGACGGCGGCCTGCTGTCTGGAGGGTTCCATCAGTTCTGCTGCTCGGCCCGTTCCTGCAGGCGCACATCCTCTCTCTCTCTCTTTCTCTCTCTCTCTCTCTCTCTCTCTCTCTCTCTCTCCCTCATGCACACACAATCCCTCCCGAGTGAGTCTCTGACAGCGAGGTTCCCAGGCTGCACACCTGCGTCAGGAGCATCCCCTGGGGCTGCGAAATGCACAGGCCTCAGGCCGACTAGGCCTGAATCACAGAAGCTGCTGGATATACCACACAGGGCACAGGAGGGCAGCCCTTCGTTACTTTGCCACGAGCAAAGTACTCGAGAATGTTGGTAAATCAATACGTGTTTTAAAGGGATCAAAATAGTTCTGTGTGCTCATACCACCCCCTCTCCGCAGCCGAACCTATGATCTTTGTCTCTGACCCCAGTAAAATCCCCCTTGGGCAGCCCAAGGGTGTCTCGGTGTTTCGGGAACACTAGACGACACCAAACTCTTCAAAGGCCTGAGGGAGCATGGGTGCTGTGCTGTAAGAGGGGGTCTGCGAGGAGATGGACCGGACTCGTTTATTAAAATAAACTGAAGAGGAATTCAGCGAGTCTAGTGTTGCTGCTCTCAAAAGGCAAGTTGACCGGAGCTTCGAACGTACGTTTTGTTGAACATAACCCACCCCGCACCCTCGTCGGAGCTTCCTCCGTTTTTGCTTTTCCAATCAAATCTACTCCACAAATATTAAGTGCGTGTTCACAGAGGACAGGTCCTGACCTGCGTCGTGTCGCAGGACTGGAGGGGACCCCTCACTAGAGGAGCTGCCCTCCGCTGGTCCTGCTCTTCCGCATCTGTCATCACGCCCAGCAGCCCAGCAAAATCCCCCGTCTCGGGCTGGCGTGGCCTCCCTCGCCCCGTAGAGCTCCACCGAGGGGCCGCCATTCCTCTGCTGCTTCAAACAGCCCTTAAGTGTCTGAAGATGGTTGCGTTTGCCTTAAGCCTCTTCTTCTCCAGGCTAAACACTTCGATGTCCTTCATGCCACATGTTCTGCCACCCCTCACCCCCTTCCTGACCACCATCTGACGAATATTCCTTCCGCTCAATAAATGTCCCTCCTCAAAATAGGACCAGGACAAAACACGGCGAGTCTTCACTGAACCTTTAGCGGGCGAGTTTACTTTCTCCTAAAACCGTCACAGCACACTTCCCCTACGATTTTATCAAAACCCATTTTCTATTGTTCAAATTAAACTCAAAGTAGCCGTTCCTCTGGTTGCTTTCCCGTATCCTTGAACACAACAGGGCAAATGAATAATTTATCATGTTTTCTACTTAGCAGAAAGGAACTTTGATCAGATGACCCGATGTCGTGAAGCCTCAGATTAAAAGATGGATAATGGTTCCCACCTCATAAAGTCATGAGGATTCCAGAGGAGATAATGTATAAAGTGCTTAGCACAGCATCTGACACCTAATAAATATCCCATCAATAAGCCTTGTTACCAGTACTCTGTTTCCTGTTGGCCTCATCCCAGGCCTCTCCGCTCTGCGCTACCCACAGGACTGAGCCTTTCTGTACTTGGGAAAGTTTCACCTGGGCTGACAGATCGAACCCTCAAACCTGTTTTTTGAAACAAGGGATCCCACTGTAGCCCTGGGCTTGAGCCCCAGATCGCACCACCATTTCTATAGACAGTATTTACCCTTGGGTGTGATGATTTAAAGGTTAAGAAGGGGCACCTGGGTGACTCAGTGGTTGAGCATCTGCCTTTGGTTCAGGTCGTGATCCCAGGGTCCTAAGATTGGGTCCCGCAACAGGCTCCCTGTAAGGAGCCTGCTTCTCGCTCTCCCTCTCGCTCTCCCTATGTCTCTGCTTCCCTCTCTGTATCTCTCATGAATAAATAAAATCTTAAAAAAAAATTAAGGATAAGAAACCGAGACATGCAGAGGGCACTGTGCTTACTGATCCAACTGGGTGCATCAGCAGTTAGAGGTCAGAGGCCTTCCTTCTGAGTCTTCTGTTCTTTCCTCCTGGGGAGGATTCCAGGGCAATCTCTCGGCTTTCCCCAGGGTCTCTAGACTCCTAGTCAGCTTTCTCTCAACCCACTGCCCTTGGTTCTTGTGAGATGAGCCCTCGCTTTCATCAGGAACTCACTGCCTGGGTCCCAGTCCCAGTCTGAAGTAGACCCTGTTTCCCGGGACCCCTTCTGTAGCAGTGTGACAGGGACCCAGTGCAACCAGTGGTTCATCAACACGCAGTGAGAAAGATGAGTATTCGGACCCAGGGGAATAAAGAATTTAAGTGGCCAGCTCCCAGCTCAGGTCATATTCTGTTGCCAAATTTATGTGCCAAATTTTTATAATTATGATAAAATCTTTCCATTTTTAACCCTCTTATGCCTTCTCAGCATTGTTTTTTCTGCTTTGTAGTCATTTCGCCTAGGAATTCTTTCTTTTTATGAGTAAGCCAGAAGGATCCTATACAGAAACATTCCCAGCCTCCTCCCTTGGAACTACAAAGCATTTTGGAATAGGCTGGAAATCACTGGTTTAGCTCAACCTCCACTTATTTGGTATCATATTATTGTAATGCCAGGATCCTGAAGGCCTGGGCCCACAAAATGAATTTTTTTTTTTTAATTACAGGATCAGATAGAGTAGACACAGCTAAGAAATCTCTAAGTTTTGCAGGGAAAAGTGAAATACAAATAACATTTCATGAGCTTCATCCAAAAGTCACTTTACCTCAGCATCTGTGACATTTTGAACAGGTAGCAGATGCCAGCAAACAAAATGGGGAGAAAAAACACAAAAATACATACATATCCACAAATACATATTTTTGTGCATATGTATGTGTGTATGTGTGTGCACATGTATCTCCTGCCAGCTGGTTTGAATCAAACAGTCCTACAAATAATACCTTATCCCCAAACACCTCAAGCTTTTTCAGAGCAAAAACTTGAGGGAACGTTAGCTTCTTTCTAGGACATGTATTGTTTCTTTTACTAAATATCAGCGTTTGAGAGTTTTTGCTGAAACTGGATTATGAAAATGCCAATTTCATCAGATTTTAAGATATAAGCTGTGTAGAACAAAATAAATACAGAAAAATTGTATTACCAAAAGCTCAGCAATTTTAATTAAAGAAAGATTAAACTTTTGCCTTTCTTTTTTGCTGCTGGATGTATTAGCCAGGCATGACCAAACTCTCCTGCAGGGCAGCGACCAGCAGCTGGTGAGGAATGTGCACGGCACTAATTCAAAAACAAAGAGAGGGCCACCTGCCTGTCAGAGGGCGGAGATGCATGGGCCCCATTCACGTGGAGGCTGGAAAAAATGAACAGAACCAAGAATGCCCAGGTCTCTGCAGACAGGGCTTCTGTTCACTGAGAAAACTTCACAGTCCTTGAGGCTTTGGGGTGCATGTGTCCCATATAAGCATCCTCAGGTTTTAAGGTGCTTGGGGCCCCAAAGAACCCCCTTGGGCTGCCCTGAAAACCCTAGGTCAGCAATGTGGGCGGGAGTGGGGGGGTGCGGGGGGCAGGCAGGGAGCAGTGATGCTCCAGGTCAGAATCACCCTCACTCTGTGCAGGTCAGCATTGCTCACGCCACGGAGCCCCTGTCAGTGTCCTGGATCCTTTCCACAGCTGCTGTGGGCTTGTATTTCCCAGGACAGCTCACTCCTGAGTCAGCAAACGTGGAGTTTGAGAACTCAAAGAGAAACTGCAAACAGCTTTGACCAAATCAAGGGAACAGATCTGGCCAGCCAGGCTTTTGTGGGGGGTCAAGGGAGGCAACCGGAAGAAGTATGAAAAGGAAACATGCAGAGTTACCTGGAGAACCTGCTGCTAACAACTCTGTTCTGCTGACAACAAAGGTACGAGACAGGGACAAAGGAACTGGAAAATGGAGAAAAACAGGGTGAGACCGTATCACTAGGCAAGAAAGGAGATCTCTGCACTCAGGGCACAGGAGCAGACACCTGTTCTACTAACATGAGCGTTCACGTCCAGAAATACAAAGCCCATACGATATTAGGGAAATTAAAAAGGCATACACGCTGCTTTCCAGGAAGTGGTATACAGGGAGCCTGGAATCAGAAGAAATCCTATTCAAATGCTTCTCTACTAACCTAGAAATCTCTTAAGCCATTAATGCCCTATCGGGGTTTATAGCTCAAAATGTGCTCTTCTTAAGGATTTAAATCACAATGAGCCCCACGAAAGGCGGGGGAGCTCCATTAATCACCTGCCCCAAGAGCATGACCCAAGCCGCCTGCACCAGCAAAGCCTACAGCATCCCTACCTATGGCAAGCAGTAAGTTATTCGATTCACTGACATCTTTTGTGTCATGATAATTTTGACCTGATATTTTGAATTGTTTTGGAATACTCTGAACGTTCAAAGTATCAGAGGAAAGTAAATCAAGAGTGCTATACACAGGTCTGCTGGGAATTGGCAGACCAAAGTCATCCTCATCACTGCTTCCTCAGAGAGCCACAGGTCCATTTGATTGAAAAGTCCAATCAGCACTGCCCTACCTGGCAGGAGTCCTATTTCCTGGGCAGGGTTTTTTGTTTCTGTTTTTAAATTGCAGTATAATTGACATACAACTGGGCGGGCCTTGAAACTGATTACTGTAAGATTTTTCTAGGCAATCAACATCAATAAATAGAAATATTATCTTGAGATTATAGCACTAATTGTATCTCTCAGTGAATATACAAAATCCCAAATCTTATTTGTGAAGTCATACACTGGGCTTTTGCATTAAGATGCTATTAACGAGATCCCCTTCCTTCCTGGCATTTCCCAACGAGGCCAGTCTGCTGCAGCCCCACAGGCTTGCTGTATGCGAGACCTGCCTCTCAACATTTCTGAATGGCATTTGCCAGTATGTGAATCCACAGTTCAGTATAAATTGGGCCAATGTTTAGGTTTCAAGAAACAGTGATCAATAAGATGGTACCCTTACACTTCCTTCTTTTCAAAGCCACCTTCTAAATCTGACTCTGCTAACCCAGGGCTAATTTGAAGTTGGCTGCCAAACAACAGTTACAAGCTCAACACCCAACTCTGACACCGACATTTCCTCTGTGCTTTCAAACTTAAAAAGCACTCACATTGTATTCTTCTAACAATCACACGAGGTAGCCTTATGGTATCCTGTTAATAAGGAGGAAGCTAAGGACCTTTCTCAGAGGCAGCCAACCATATACAGTGGTCCTCCCAGACTAGTTAGGAACCTCCCTGCCTCCTCACTAGCAGTGAGAACAGAAGATCACCTTCAAGTTTACAGCAGACATGATTAAGTGGGGTTAGATAGGCCCATGTTCACACTGGTGTTAGTCAGCAGTTGACAGTGGGGAGGCTGGCCGATGTGGCCAAGCACCCTAGGGTGGGATAGTGAGAAGATGCGTCTGGGGCAGGGGAGGCTGAGGGACATGAGAGAATCCTGAACACCTCCTTGGCTTTTTAACTGTAATGTAATATCCTTGGATGCCTGGGACACTGTGTGGCCTGGTGACTGAGGTCACAAAAAGAGATCTGCCTGGAGGTATCCCCTCCCCTTTGGAGACTGGTTTCCAGAAGTGGCCTAGGTTGTTTTAGGATGGGTTATTTCTAAGTTTGGGGTTTGTAAGTTTCCTAGCATAGCATGTCATTTGGCACTGTGGCCACAAGGTGGCACTCCAGCACCTCTGTTTACCTGTCCACACTGGTCCAGCCAGGGTAAGGCAGCAAGCACATGCACACCGCAAAGCAAGCAATGCCCCAAGCCAGAGGTATTTGTGCTCCCTATTCCTACTAGGGCAGATACCAGTTGCTGGCATCTTGTGCTCAGAACACTTAGTTGACACCCTGTGGCATACCCATCATTAGCTGGCTGACTCAACTGACCAGCTGTCTAGACAAGACCCAGCTCTAGTCAATAAATACACATTTACAGCCTCATTCATCTGCAGGAAAATGCAAACTTTAAAATCTCCAGAACAGTTAACATTTTAAAGGCTCAATAACATTTAGCAGTGGAAGTAGAGCAACTGGAACCCCTGTCAGCAGAGGCAGGCTAGCAGTGTGGACTGCTACGTACTGTGGCAAACTGCAAGGCAGGAGCTACTAAAGCTGCAGATGCCATGTGGGAGCCCACAATTCCACTCCTACACATATGCCCAAAAGAAACGCACACACACTCACCAGAACACATGCACGAATGTGCACGGCCACCCAATTCATGGTAGCCCCAAACAGGAAACTACCCCCATGTCCATCAGCAATGGAAAAATACACTTCACATGATGTGACACTGCACAGCAATGAGAAGAAATAAGGTATAAAGCACACACAGCAATAATGATGAATGTGACCAGGACAACACTGGGTGAAAGAAGCCAGGCTTGATGTAATATGTCCTGTAGAAGTTCATTTACACCAAGTTCAAAAACAGGCAAAACCAGTCTACTAGCTTAGAAGTCAAGGCAGTGGTGTGGGGAACAGTTCCTAATACAGTGTGGTGGTGGGGAGGGTGGTTTGTGGGGTTAGTGATGTTTGTTTCTTGAACTGGGTGCTGCTCTACATGGAGTGTTGGCTGTGTGAAAATTCATGGGGGCAGAGACTTATGATTGGGCAGGGCAGGGGGGCATCTGGTATATGCGATATGTTTCAACAAAAAGCTCAAGAAGTTGATAAATAGGGCTAGCCGGCAGGTACAGAAAGGGGACAGGAGAAGAGTATTCTATCTTAAAGCACAACCCCGCCCAAGGGGCTGAAAAGGAGAGCTCACCTGGAGAGGCTGTGAGGGCCATCACACCATAGTAGGAGAAAGCACTGGCTTCGAATTTCATACCTTCTTTCCCAGCTTCTACTTCCACTTTCCCCTGTGAGAAGAAAAGGGGGAGGAGTGTTTTCAGTCCAGTTCCAGGAATCTCTCTGCAAATTCAATGCAAGATTTGTCCTTCCTCAGATTTTTGTCTAGAATTCCTTTCCCAACCAGCTCTGGGAAGTAAAGCCTCAAATGCTCTTTCCCACTTAGAAAAGAGGGTTAATTCATCTTAAACAGGACAATTGGATTTGGCTGGAAATGCAGAGAGAACAGTGAGGGTGTGAGGTTTCATTTCTGTGAGTCCACTTAGTATTTTCCCAGCATCCCTAGTTCATGCATGGATCCTTCAGGAGCTCTCCAGTAATAAAAACATGGTGCTCTCTCCCCATCAATTGGGACAAACACTGGGAAAGATGGGGTCTTGCAGGAGCTCAGAGCTGGAGCATCATTGGGTCTGGGTTAACACTGTTTGTGGCCATGGGCTCCAGGGATGGAGCTCACTCTGGTCTCACAAACACAGTGTGGGGTGTCTGCAGGCAGGACCTTTATGGCCCAGACCCCTGTGGGCACCACTGCACCTCTCAACTTCCACCTCACAGTCTTGGGAAAGCACCATAGCAAGCCCTTCTTCCATCAGGATAAAACCTCTCCCGGAAGTCTTCCTTTGCCTTCTCTTTCTCTAAGTTGTCTAAAGCCTCACTCGTCGGTTCCTCCAGGGCAGACTGCAGATGCCTGACTCATCCTGTTAGCCTTCGGGTCCACTATGACCCCCGCATGGTGGGTGCCCAACATGCATTTCCCAAGCCACTGGAACATCCTAGTAAGTGAGCTCCAGGTTGGGATTTCCAAGCCAAGGGCCAGAATGGCCTTGTTCACCATACCTATAGCTGCCCCTCCAGTGACAGGCTACCTTTATGGTACTTCCTTTATGATGGGTAAATAAAAATAATGGCACCATTTATTGAAGAGGAACTAGGCTAACAAGTCAGGGCTTTATTAATTCACTTAGATGCTCATAACTCATGAAACAGACACAATCACCCTCCCTTACACATCAGGAGAGGGGCTCAGAAGGATTACATGAGAGAACAAGCCCTTGACCAACGCCATGGTGCCCACTAACGCAAACTATTATTTTGATCATTCCCTATTATTATATACTAAATTCCCAGTTATGAGAGACTCTCCTCAAAGCACTTCTTCAGAAAACGCTCTACTGTCTCTCTTTTAGGTTTTCCTTCATTCAAAATACTAGTTTTATCACTCCCGGCCAACTCTCTCACTGTAGGAAGGGAACTGACAACTCCACCCATAATGTAAAATCATCCTGCAAGCAAAGGGGTGCCGGAAACCCTGACCATGCGGGGCCCGGGGCAAAGATGGTCCAGGCCACCTGTGAGTTTCCAGTGCACAAGACAGAGGGAAGCAGGGGAAGAATCAGTGGGACATGGTGGTCAACAACAAAAAAAAACCCTGTGGGGAAAAAGATCACAAGAATGTAGGAAATTCAGAGAAAAAGATTACTCCCTGTTCTTATACACATTTTGTACAGGAAGGAAAATGCAAGGAGTAAGAGTTGAGGCGAGAGAAGGGAGGGCAGGGGAGAAGTGGGGAGACAGCGGGGCCGCCAGGCTCCGGGGGTTTGCACAGGAAGCCGCGGGATGGGGCTGGAGCAGCCTGGAGAGCAGGGCAGGCCGAGGAGCTCCCTATGTGGTGGGCCAGCGAGGCAGGAAAAGGGAGTCTGGGCTCATGCTGGGCTGGGAGCCATGCAGCTGCAAGATGGCTAGGAGAGAAGCTACAAGAAGGGATCCACAGTTTGGTGAAAGCAGGAGGAGAACAAAGTGTAAGGAAGAGAGGAGGAGTCACTAATTATGACAGATGTTTGCTCTAAGGGACCCGAAGACAGGCACCATGAAGATGGATAGAAACTTCAGGAAGGCACTGCATTGGTGCTGGGAACTGGGAGTGGGACTGGGGGCAAAAGGGGACAGAAGGAGGCCTTGGGGGAAGAGTCCATCAAGAAAGGCTAAAGTGGAAGAATGAAGGTTAAGAGGAAGGTCAGGATGGAGATGGAGATGAGGGAGGGGAGGAAGGGAGAGGGAGGAGGGAAGGAGAGGGAGCGGGAGTGAGGAGCAGAAAGAGAGAAGAGGTGGTCACTAAGTGAGCCAAAGCAGAAGGCTGGGCAGCAAAGAAGAGGCAAAGTGACCGGCCTCAGAGGCAGGGTCCCTTAAGAGGAGGGGAAGAAGAGGACGGGGAGGGACAATCCTCAGAGCCGGTGAGCAATAACGCTGGACGCGCCGGGTGGTACAGATCTTCGCAATTACTTATCTACTTCTTGCTGCGCTAACCCCTGACCTCGTATCCGATAGTTCATATATACATATGAGGCTGTCTCTGTAGTCGGAAGCTCAACAGCGACATAACCCAAATTTCTACGCAGAAAATCAAGAGGAAGCATCAAATGCAGCAGAGCCTCATCATGACTCCCATCTTTGTGGGGTTCTCCACTGATCTGGACCATTTGTTTTACAAGCTACAAGACCTTCTGTATTCTGTGTGCCTGCACAATTCTTTAGAATTATCATCAGAACCAGCAGGGTAACACCCACTCCCCCAAAAGACTGTAAATAACAACTCGGGGTCTGCCTCTGGGGGAGGAGCTCTTCCGGGGGCAGTACCCACACGAGCCACGCTCGAACCCCTGCCAAGTAAACTCAAAGGCAGAGATTCCCAGCCCTTGCTGTACACTGGAAACTCCTGGGGATTTAAAAAACAAACAAAAGACCTGATGTCTGGCTCCCACTCCGAGGCATTGCGATTTAACTCATATGGGTGTAACCTGGGCATGAGGATTTTAATAAAGCTTTCCAGTTGATTCTAGCAGGCAGCAAGTTTGGGAATCCGTTGCTATGAGGCTCTATGGACAAAGGCCCCAGCTCTGGAGCTGCGTGCCCTGGCCTCTTAGGAAACTCCCCTGTAGTCACAGAGGCTGAGAGCCCGCAAATTGAACAAGGATAGCCGCATAAAGACTCAAAGCGCTGGATGCTAGCCACCTTGGTTCGTCTCCCTCTGTCCTTCGGGACACACCTGCAGGTGGAGGAGATCAGGCATCTCCCGCAGCCCGCCCAGCTGACCTTGACCAGGTTACGTGGCGGTACACAGGTCGATGCTTGCTGGCGGAGGAGTCCCAGAATTAGTGAAATCTACCTTCAGCCTCAGAGAGGAGGTTGCCAAATTTTTATTTCATATAGATATTTTGAAAAACACACCCATCTATCCACTCTAACCATCATTCTGCATCAGACCAGACATCTTAACCCCCCAAATACAGAAAATATATAATTTCAGAACAGACAGGTCTTTAAACTGAGTACATGTAATTTTATGAAGACTTTGCAGCAGCTCTCTATTTTTCACATTTGGTCTCAAACTAGTGAAAACTTTGTCAAGCAGTAGCATGAAGGAACCACGGCGCCAGACTCCTTTTACTCCATTTATAAAACTGCAACAGATTAAAGGATCCTGTGGTTCTTTCGATTCTAACTTTATAGGATTCTACAATTCCAAGTTCTGAAAACTGGACATCCCTGTATTCCTCACTACATGAGTGAAGCTTTTCTGGCAGGCGAGTTTTAGAAACATCCAGTAAACATTTTTTTATTCCTCTGTATGTGTCAATGGATCCCAAAAGTGACCCAAGTAAACCTACCAGTATGCAAATTGAAGCCATCCCCATGAGGCAATGGCCTGGCTGGCTCACGACCAATCTGGTGTCTTTCGATAATGATTGTTTCCATATACGGAAGGAGCTACATATCAATTTTACTTTTGAAACATCCACAAATTTACCAAACTCTAGCATATTGCACACACAAAAAAATCAGCACAGGACATGACGGGCTCCCAAAGGGAATTATGTCTTCATGTCTAAATCGATGAAAGAGGGCAGCCCAGGTGGCTCAGCGGCTTAGCGCCACCTTCGGCCTAGGGTGTGGTCCTGGAGACCCGGGATTGAGTCCCATATCGGGCTCCCTGCCCGATGGAAGCCTGCTTCTCCCTCTGTCTGTGTCTCTGCCTCTCTCTCTGTGTCTCTCATGAATAAATAAAATCTTTAAAAAAATAAATCAACGAAAGAGAAGGCAGGCCTCATGATCTCAGGCCAAGCTAGCTTCCCAAGTAAACTTACCAACACAAGTGCCCTACCTTTCTTTGGAAGAAGGTTATTCGGTAGCTCTCCTCTCCTCGAAGTTCCTAAGCATCCAGAAAGTACTAAAAGCAGTCTTGTGCTACACCTGGCCACAAGGTAGAAGCCTGTGCTACTCTCGTTGGCAACAAGATCAAGTGGTCAGCAGATGCCATGGACGCAGGGAGACCAAAGACTTCCTTGGGCACCATATGCTGAGCATCCACTAGGTCTCCTGCTCACCTTCAAGTTCTTGTTTTGTTTTTGTTTTTTTATACCACCATCACAAAGTATTCCATGGGGCTTGACACCTGAAGGAAGGTAACTAAATCCTGGGGTGTGAAAATGCCAGGTTAAGGTCACCAGCACTACCCCATTAAGAGGGGAAGCATGACCCCAAGAGAGTCTATTCTGCTGCTCAAACATTCCCTAGCAATTGTTTTTTAACCTGGAGTCCAGAGATGTAGTCTTGGGACTGCAAGTTCCCTTGAGGAATGTTTGTTAAATTTTTTTTTTACAATGTTGATGGTCAAAAATCAATTTACACATATTTGGGACCATCTGGTTGACCATCCTCTAACCAAATGCCATCACCAGATGTCAACCAGAGCCTTCAGGCTCACAACTGCATTACGAAGGAGTTGTTACTACCTGAATCATCATGGCTGAGCCTTGCTGCTCAATCAACTGGGAGCTTGTTAGAAATAAGCAGCATTTCAAACTCCACCCCAGCCCTACTGGATCTGCAAGTGATTCCTCTGCACATAAAAGTGTGAGGAACACTGAACTGGAGAGAGAGACACGAGAGAACCAAACATAAATAAGGACCAGTCACACCCAGTGGAAGCCAAATAACAGCACAGCATCCTGCA